ATCAAAGTTCAGCTTCAGTGAACTCATCGGGAATTTTACAATCAGAAAACCTCGATCGGGGGCCGGCCCCGTGGCCGAGTGGTTAAGTTCACACGCTTTGCTTTGGCAGCCCAGGGTTTCACCAGTTCGAATCCTGGGCGCAGACATGGCACCGCTCATCAGGCCATGCTGAGGCAGCGTCCCACATGCCACAACTAGAAGGACCCACAACTAAAAATACACGACTATGTATGGAGAGGGGGGACTTTGGGGAGAAAAAGGAAAAAGAACATCTTTAAAAAAAAAAAGAAAACCTCAATAGAAGCTGTGTTCATTTCAGTGCATGGATGCGAGCTTTGGGGTTTACAACCTTATGTTGTTTTTAGTGTGTGTGTGAGAACCCTAATCTTTTCAAGGTTCAGGACCTCCTACTCATCTCTCGTGCAGCCACAGTGTTCAGCACATGCTAGGCACACGGTGGCTGATTAGCCAAGGTCTGTGGGATAAAATCACAGGCTTGGTTCTCTCCATCAACCCGGCAAGGCTGCTAGCAAAGCAATGCTCTTGCGCATTTCATAGATGTGGAAACTGAGGCCTGAAGAGGTGAGGACACCTGCCCAAGGCGCTTCCCTGGACCATTAACAGTGAGGACAAGGCATCCTTGCCTGACATTGTTTGCTCCTGGGAGCACTGGGGCAGCACCCTGTGCCAGGTCTGGTGGGGAGGCGTCCGGCAGTTTTCCGGGCATCCAGGTCCCCTGCCAGCCATGGGTTTCCAGGCCCCCCTCCCTCGCTGGGGGTCTTGGCAGCCTCCCAGGAGCCTGTGGAGGGACGAGTGGATTTTTCCCTTTTCCAGCAAACAGGGGGCAGGTGTGAGCAGCTCTGGGGAGGGGGGCGGGGAGGTGACTGAAGCTGGACTTCTGGGGGCTCCAGCGAGGCTGAACGACAAAAGGGGTGCCACTGAGAGTAAGGGGCCTGCTGAAGGGGGGCAGAGGGAGTTTGGGGGTGCTAGGAACCCAAGTAGGGGTGCTGGGAATAGAAATGGGGCCCTGAAAGGTGTGGGGGGAACCAAAGGCGAAATGGCCAACTTGGCAGCCTTGCGGGGGGCTGTCCCTGCTTCTCAGGACCACGAGCTGGCCCCGCACCAGCTCCGACCCTGCAGAATGCCAAACACGGGGCCAAGGAGAAGACCTCCTCCCGCTGTCAGACCCCGCCCTCCACCAGAGAAGCTTCTGGGATGAAACAGAGAGAACAGGGCAGAGGACTCCTAGCACGTCTCATTTCTCCATCAGGGACTCAGTGCCTCTCTAGAAGAATGGGCACGAGGACTTGAGGGTGACTTCCTCTGCTCTCAGGATAAAATTCAAAGCCCTTTCCCTGGCCGTCCAGGCCCGTATGTCTGGTCCCTGCTCCAACCTCATCCTGTACTGCCTTCCCCTTGTTTACTGCACTGCAAACATAACAGACTTGAATGAACTCTGCTCCTTCCCACCACAGGGCCTTTGCACAGGCTGCTCCCTCTGCCTGGAACACTGCCTCCCTCGCTCATTCTTCAGATTTCTGTTCAAACCTCACTTCCTCAGATTAGCCTTCTGTGACCACCCCTAGACTAGGTTTATCTCATGTTCTCAGACCTGCAACTGGTTACCTGTGTGCTGTGTGCCTGCCTGCTCCCCCACTACACTGCGATCTCCACCATAGGGTGTCCAGTAGTAGACGTCTACTGAAGACCCCATCTTGCTCCTTGCAGTATTCTAGTGCTTAGCACAGGGCTGACCCACAGCAGGAGATCCATAAATGGTCCTGTGATGGCCTGAATGAGTGGCTGGGGCCACCAGTGAGCACAGTCAGTGCCTGGAGTTATGGAAACATTGATGTACTGAAGAGTAACATCCATAAACCACTTGTTACGAGCTCGCCTGTGTTTCCACACTTGGTGACCACTCTGTAGGCACCAAGCAACGTTCTGGAGCAGAGCTATCCACTAGAACCTTCTGCAGTGAAAGCAGTGTTCTGGATCCCTGCTGTCTAGTACTGTAGCCAGGAGACACAGGGGGCTACCGAGCAATTGAAATGTGGTTCGTGGGACCAAGGAACTCAATTTTAAATTTTATTTAATTTTAAGCAACATAAATTTAAATAGTGGCATGTGGTTAGTGGCTACCATATTGGATGGCACAACTTTAGAGAGAAAGAGTCCTGCTGTCCCCGAGGCTCACATGCCATTCTGTCATCCAAGGGTTCACAGGAACTGCCCCAACCCTCCTCAGCTGGTCCCTGGGGTCACTCATGCCAAAGCTTCCATGAGGCCGGACCTCACCATCCTCCACTGCCCACCAAGCTTGTCACAGAGACCACCAGGAACAATGACTCAGGGAGATGTCCACCCAGATGGCGAGCAAAAATGCAGAGAGTGGACCTCCCCATTTTTATCACCATCATCACCTATCACACGGTCACCAAGACTGCCACTAACCTCATTCTCTCCATCATGACCACCCCATCACACCACTGCCAAGTCACCACCAACACAGCCATCAACACCACCACCACCAGTTCCACAACCAACACTACCAGTGACATCACCACCAATACCATCTCCTCCATCATGACCACCCCATCACACCACTGCCAAGAGCACCACCAACACAGACATCAACACCACCACCACCAGTTCCACAACCAACACTACCACTGACATCACCACCAATACCATCTCCTCCATCATGACCACCCCATCACACCACTGCCAAGAGCACCACCAACACAGACATCAACACCACCACCACCAGTTCCACAACCAACACTACCACTGACATCACCACCATCTCCTCCATCATGACCACCCCACTGCCAGCCCTGATCATCACCACGCCATCACACCACCCCAACACGACCGACCCCCAATCACTACCACCGCCATCACACCACCCCAACACGACCGACCCCCAATCACTACCACCGCCATCACACCACCCCAACACCACCAACCTCTCATCATCACCACCGCCATCAAACCACCCCAACACCACTGACTCCCCCATCATTACCACTGCCATCACATCACCCCAACACCACTAACCTCTGCCCCCCATCATCACCACCACTATGACATCACCCCAACACCACCAACCTCCACCCCCATCTTTACCCACTGCCATCACATCACCCCAACACCACCAACCCCCCATCATTACCACCGTCTTCACACCACCCCAACACCACCAACACTTGGAACCAGGACAGGACACCAGTCAAGAGCTCTGGCTCTGAAATTCAATTGCCTGGGCTTCAATTCCAGTTCTGATTTAAATCACTCAGACTCAGTTTCTTCATCTGCAAAATGGGACGACTACTACTACTAATACAATATTCAGACTTACTGTCTGTGATTGGAAAAAATCCAATGAGGAAGCACATGGAAAGCCCTTCAACTGTGAGAGACATCGATCCAACCATTTTGCAGATGAGGAAACTGAGGCTCAGAGAGGTGATATAACTTTTGCATAGCCCTACAACTAATCTGAGAGGCTGGACTGGAACCCAAGTCTTAAGCTGGACTAGGCTAGGCTGTCCCTTTTTGGGGGCAGGGAGGTCAGATCGGCAGATGGACCTTCTGGCAGTTCCAGGCTCCCTCGAGGGGTGGTGGGGGCGTTTCTGCATTCCACCAGGAAAGGTGGTGGTGTGGCAGTGCTGGTGGTAGCGTCTGTGTCTCGGCCCGGCCCGGCAGGTGTGTGTGTGGGGGGGCAAGGGAGAGTGAGTCTGCTCACCTGTGTCCTGGCGAAACTGGTGCATGGACTGCAGGTCAATGATGTAGGGCACCAGCTGGGCGTCCACCTGCCCCAGGACCACAGAACCACGGGCGTCCTCCTTGAGCACGTTCTCGATGTGGTGGCACACGGTGGCCGTGTAGGGCCGCCAGCGGCTGTGCTCATTCAGCCACTCCCACACCACCACCCGGGCCACATTCTGCGGTGGGAAGCCCAGCCCGTTCCCGGGCATCATGACGCCCTGGCCTGGCCGTGACATGGCCGCTGCTGCCTCAGGGGCCAGGACCCCACGACCACGGGCCCAGCTCCTCCTGGGCCTGGGAGCAGGCGGGAACTTCCTCTCTCCCCAGGGGTGCAGTAAGGACTGTCCAGCCTCCTTTCTAACTCCTGGTCCTCTTGGAGGCCCAGAGGCCTGAGTTAAAGGTGTGTGGGGCAGTGTTCCAGCTCCAAGGACCCCTTCCGGGCAGGCAGCACGGTCTCAGATAAAGCTGCTGCTCTGCAAAGCAAGGCTTCCTTCTGATGGGGGAACCGGTGCCCTAAATGCCTTGGTTCCCTCGGCTCAGATGCGAGAGTGAGGCAGCGGCCTCTACTCTAGGTCCCGTCTCTTCCCTGCTGGTCTCCCGTCCTTCTTCCGGCGCCCAGGGCCTGTCACCCAGAAGGCCGGGCCCCAGCCTGCTCTCTGCAGCGCCCAGCCAGCCCTCCGCGCTCCCAATTGCGTCCCAGACCCTGAGCTTGGCTTCAGTGGGGCTGCTTGCCTGGTCTCGGGTCCGCCCCACCGACGGCTCCTGCTGAAGGGGGCGTCCCTGTACCCCCTGTCCCCGCTCCACGGCGTCCTGGAAGGCCTGGTGGCTGAAGAACGCCCGGGGGAGGGGTGCGGCGCCTACCTCGGGGCCGGGCTGCGGCTCTGGAGCTGGGCGAGGGGACGAGGGGGGCGGGGGCCCGTGGGCACGCCCCACCCCACTCGCTCTTGCGACCTGCCTGGAGACAAGAAGGGGAGAGGGCCCTTTAAGAATAGAGCGCGGCACCCCCTCCCCCTTCCCGGGAGAGCGAAAGGCTGAGAACAATGGGGAACCGGTGGGGGGGGGGGGGGCGCAAGGGGGGCTAAAGGGGGTCGCCGGCCACGTTCCCCTGGGGCAGGCCCGAAGGGAGGGCTGGGGCTGGGGGCGCGATTTGCCGAGACTCCTCACCTGCGGAGCCCCCTCCTCAGCTCCCCGAGCGCTCCCCTCCCCCGAGGTCCGCGCCCGGCCGGGGATGCAGGGTGCGCGGGGATGCGCGGGGATGTGCGAGGATGCGCGGCGCGGCGCTGCAGGCGCGGCCCAAGGCCCCTCGGGGGTCGCGTCACCGAGGAGGTGAAGCCCGGAGCTGGATCATCGGTGCCTCCCGCCCTTGGGGTAACGGCCCCCCTTCCGCAGCCCAGACCTCCCCAAAGCGCGCGTGGGTCCCCCGCAGGAGCCGGGGGTGGGGTCCCCAAGCACCCCGCGCTCTCACCGCCTGTCCTCTGCTCTGCCTCCTTCTCGGCTCGCGCTTCAGCTCCGCCGCCTCCTGGGCTCCCCCCGGAGTGGGAGGGAGCCGCGGTCCCGCCTCCGCGCCTTTTCCCTCCCAGGCCTGGCGGCCGCCGCGCTGGAAAACTGGGCTTTCCGCGCGCGGACAGACTAGTCCGCCGACCGACGGACGCATGAGCCGCTGCCGGGCGCCGGGATCCCGCGGGTGGGAGGCGGCAGCGGCCGCGCTCAGGGGAGGAAAGGGGGAGGGGGCGGGGAAGGAGGAAGGGGAGGAGACAGATCAGGGCCCTGAGCGCCGCTGGTGCGGACACGTGAGTCCTGGGGCGCCCCAAATCCTCAGCTAGGCCCACCTGGGACCCCAGGAGGTCTCCTCAGCCCAGGCAGGGCGCAAGGCATGGAGTAGGGTATCTATTCAAGCAGGGGTCGCCTGCTTGAATTCTAGTCATCTTTACATCCCAGTTGCCCAATCCAGGGCCTGGCATACAATAGGTGCTCAATAAATGCTTGAATGAATGAATAAATCCAGAGATTGTTTAAAGAAACATCTTAAAGCATTCTAGGGTAGCCTTCTCTTCTCCTTCCACTATTCTGGGAGAGAAGGATAGGGAGGGGCTGGCAAGGCCCATTTCAGAGCCAAATGGAATCGTGGAATCTGAGTGTACATATGGGAAGACAGGGCCCAGAGAGGGTAAGAAACAGGCTCAGGATCACACAGCAGCTTAGAGCAGAGCCCAGACAGGAGCCCAGAGCCACTGCTTCTCCCAGTACCCAATTAGCCAGCCCAGAGCCCACTTCCTCAGAGCACCCAGCTGCTTCAGCTTACCGGGGGTAGCAACAGCATGCGCCTCCCAGGGAGGTGGGAGGGACCTAGGCCAGGAGGCAGAGACCTTAGAGGAAGGCCAGGGCAGACCCTCTGCCATCTCATGCACAGATGCCTGCAAACAATTGGCGCTCAGTAAATGCTGGGTGGGGGTGGCCAGACAGCAAGGGAGGCAGGTGGGGCAGCAGCTCAAGCGTTAACAGGATGCCGCTCTCCCTCTGGCAAGCTGGCTGCAGCTGAGGACACACACCAGCTGGGAGGGGCTGGACCACCCGGGGCCTGTGGGTGTTTAGATTAGGGGAGATGAAGGATGCCTGGGCTGCAGACGGGGGTCAGCGGGCTGTTTGGGAGCCTGCCCAGAGCGGCCCACGCGCCCCTTCCTCCCCGGGGCAGATGGCGATAAACTAAGTGAGGTCAGGGCAGGCTGCACAGGGGCGCTTTCCCAGAACCGAGTCCAGTTCCCCAGCCGGCTGGAGTGGCCGCCCCTCCCCAGGCCCCTGCTCCATCCTGCAGCCTGGTGCCTGATGGGCTTTCCCAGACTGGCTCAGGGATTCTGCTTGCTGGCGCCTGCCACGCACTAAACAGAGAGGCTCTGTCTGAGGGCAGGGCCAGCCCTGCAGCTCCAACGGGATCACTGAGCTCTAGGGTTTTCGCCCGGCGTCCACTGATGGCTTTCCGGAGGTCCATGCAGGCCCCCTCTTCCATTACAGACACACTTAGGTGTCTGCATTTTTCTGGGAAGAAGGCTCTGGCACTCAGAGATTCTTCTCCAGGGAGGCTGTGACCCAAAAGATTCAGGGCTGATGCTCAACAACCTTATGTTACAGAGGTGGATCTGAGGGCCCCAGGGTGGGGAAGAGACTGGCTCAAGGGCACATGGAAATTTAGCAGCAAGTTGGAAAGAAGAACCGAAGACTCCAGACTGTATAATGCTATTTAAGTTCTAAGGAAAGGTCACCACCTCCAGGAAGCCTTCCCTGAGCTCATCCCATCTTTCTCTGCTCCTCTGCCCAGACCTTGCTGTGACACCCTGTATCACCATTGGCCGCTTCAGTGGACTCCGTCCCTGCCAGAGTGAGAAGTCCATGAGGTCAGAGACTGTGTCTTATTCACTTTGGTGTGATGTGGCTGGTGCTCCTTACATAAAGGTTATTGTTTATTGGGTGCTTGTTACGTGCCAGACACTTAGATAGTACTCACGACTCTGCACAACTGCCCCACAAGGTAGGCGACGTTGTCTTATTTGACAGATGGAGAACCCTTGGAGGTTAAGTGTCTTGCCCGAGTTCCCAGGGGGAGGAAGTGGCGGATCTGGGATTTGAATAGCAAACCCGGCTGTACCTGCCCCTGCACGATGCCGCCTCTGTGTGTGTTCGGGGACATTAGAATGGCATCCAGCTGAGGATCTGCGGCAGGTCCTCGTGGCCCCTCTCCGCTGGGCTCTGGGACATGTGGAAGTGCAAAGGCCCGGCACCAGGGAGAAAGGGATTCTGAGGAGGGGAATGGAACTCGGCCTTCAAGGAGCCCACCACCCGCTGGGGAGAAGGCCCGAACATCAACGGGGAAGCCCAGAGAACAAAAGCGATCAATCATGAACTCTTTTCAAAAATTCGTCTGTGCGTATTGCACCCCTAGAAAAAGAATCTTGGGATTTTCTCTTCTGTTTTTGTCTTGCTTCCTCGCAGCCGTGACACTCGCTGAGGTCATCAGGGCAAGCAAATCAAGCCGGCGAGATGGGAGAAGGTTATCCTGCCACTTTTGTAGACCTTTGAGATACACATCAAATCTGGGGCTGATCACACTTATTTAAGCTGCATGTGAGGTTAGCGACAATTTCCTCAGCTTCGTGACCTCAGTGACTTCAAATTCGTCGACGTAACCATGGTTATGGTCACCGTTAGAAACCAGATGAGGGTTTTGAAGCACGACCCAGAGGGACCTGGGGTTTGCCTCTCTCTTCTCAGTACTGTCGATGCTCTTGAGAGCATCAGTCAGGATGTTATGTGCACTGTTATGGTGGCATGGAAAGATGGCGGCAAGAGGTGAACTCATTTTTTTGTTCTCGTATCCATTATCTATCCATCCATCCATCCATCCATCCATCCATCCTTGCGTCCATTGATCTATACATTCATCTGTGCAAATGATTTTTCCTCCCTCCCTGCCTTCCTTCTTCTCCCCCCATCACTTCCTCCTAACCACCCATCCCTCCATCCATCTACACTCATCTATCTGTCCATCCATCCATCCAAAAGATACCGGCCGTCGCCTCTGTGCCGGACACTGGACTACGCACTGAGACACAGAGATAACCAAAACAGTGTAGTTCCTGCTCTCCTGTGTCTCCGAGTCTAGTGAGAGGGGGAGACATGAATTGAAGCATCACACAAAGTTGATTATGAAATTTTGCAAGAGCCATGAAGGAGAAGTTCAGGCTATCCTGAGGGCCTCTAACAGGCGTCCTACCAGGTCTCGGGAGCCACGGAGGGCTTCTCAGAGGAGGTGACATTTCGGCTACTCCCTGAAGGATCCATGATCTTCATGTGGTCAAGCGGGTGGGAGGAGGAACAGAGGGAGCAGAGATGTGCAAAGGCCCAGAGGTGGCAAAGAGCTTAGTGTGTCAGAGCAACCGCTGGGAGGCTGTAGTGGCCACTGAGGAGGGAGCAGGGGAGAGCCTGGGGCAAGATGAAGTGGGCGAGGCCTTGTGAGCCCCAGTGTGGGCTTGGGATTTTTATGCTAAGAGCCACGAGTTACAGAAGGGGAAGCCCCACCCTGAGAACCTCTGCTTTAGTTCCCCCGGGGGTAGTAGTCTTCCCAGTGGTCCTTCCCCTGGGTTTGGGGATTGAAGCTGAGAGGGGGCCGAATGAGCCATCTCCAGACCATTGTGCCCGTAGGACATACTATGAGCTCTCAGGTCTCATGTGGGCCACCCACTTGTTCATTCAATCAGAAAATGTTGATTGAGCACCTACTGTGTGCCAGACGCTATTCCAGGCCCTGGGGATGCGATAGTGGGTAAAAGAGACAAAAGTCCCCGCTCTCCCAGAGCTGACATTTGGGGGAGGGGTGGAGTTAGGCAGTAAACAAATGCGTAAATAAAATACATAGTCGATCACAGTGGAGAAAATAGAGGCCTCGCAACACGGCCCGGGGATGTGAATGGGCGCAGCCTTGCTGGGAACGGCCTGGCCTTGTCGCCTAAAGCTGAGCCTGGGCACAGCCTAGGACCCAGCCCTTCTACTCCGAAGTGTGCACCCTGCAGAAGTCCCTGCCCGTTGACAAGAGGAGTCATGTGGAAGAATATTCACAGGGGCTCTGATCACAGAGGCCAAAATTGGAAAGCAGCCACATGCCCGTTGATGGGAGAGCAGATGAAGAGATTCCCCCAGTGAAATATTGCATGGCAGTCAAAAGGAAGGAAGCAGAACCATACGCCACAATACAGACGGATCTCTGAGGCAGAATAGCCCATGAAGGATGTCCCATTGCGTAAACATGATACCTTCATATAAAGTTGAAGCAGCTAAAATTATATGCACGTATGCAATAACGAGCTCTACAAAGGAAGCAGGGGAGGTTAAACACGGGACTCAGGATGAGGATTATGGTAGGGGATGGGATGCTGGGGTAGGGGGAACCACGTGGTTTGGTGTAGGTCATTGTCAAGATTCTAGTTTCTGTTTTGGGTGGTGGTTTCACAGGTGTTTATTACATTATGAAATTAATCATTAAAAGCTGATAAGACTGGGTTGTGAAGCAAGGATTACGATAAACCTGTTTTTTTGTGAAGCAGAGTTAAAGGAGAAAAGCACGCACGCAGGAGAGGGGCCACAGCACGCGGGCAGCAGAGGCAGGCTGCAGTTTTCAATCAATAGGTTAAGGAAGGCATCTGAGCCAAGGCCTGAAGGAGGGAGGTAGTGAGCCATGGGGCAGGTTTAGGGAAGAGTGTTCCAGACAGAGGGCACAGCAAGTGCAAAGGCCCTGAGGTGGGAGGATGCTTGGCATGCTCTAAGAATGGCAGACGGTCAGTCGGGGCTGGAGGGAGTGAGTGTGGGCAGGTGTCCTGGAGATGACCTGCGGGGAGCGGAGGAAGAAAGCAGGCTTAGGGAGGGGGAGAGAGAATGGGGAGGAAAGGGAGGACATTTCAGGGTTCCGAGAAGGGCCCAGTTCCTGAGTCTGCTCTTCTCAGCGATTTGCTGTTCAACTTCTCACTGGATTCCATGAGACCCTTCAGTTTCCTTGAGGCGGTTTAACTGAGTTTCTCTGACTGGAAACCCAGTGCGTCCCACCTGGGTGAATCGCTGACGCTGTGCCCAGAGGGCCCGGCGCTGGTTTCTTCAGGAGAGGTTTCTTAAGAGAAGGTGCAAACCAGAGAGTGGAGGCTGGGCTGTGGGAAAGCGCTAGCAGGCGGGAGGAGGCCGGGCCAGCACGGATCCGACCCGGGTGTGGGATGGGGATCAGCCCGTTCACGGAGCGCCTCCTGCACCAGGGGTTTTTGAAGCTCTTCAGTCCTGCCCGGTGTCCTTACAGACTTTACAGACGGAGAGACGCAGGCCCCGGGCGGTTAGGACGTGCAGGTGAGCAGCTGAGCCTGGAAAGCCCAGGTCTCTGACCTTGACCTTGAAGCTCTCCTGTCTGGGATAAGAGGTCTCTGACCCATTTCCACTGCGGCGTCCCCTCATCTTTGGGTAACCTGGGGGCAGGTGAGTCCTTGTCACCTGTCTCTCTTCCCCAGCCTCCGGGCAACCCAGAGGCCTGCGGGCAGCTAGGCGGGGTGGGCACGCCCCACCCAGGCCTCCCTGTGTCTCCAGCACAGAGGGAAGGGACCCGGAGAAAGAAGGGGCTCAGAGTCGGGGGGATGGGGACGGGGTGGGAGGGCGGTGCGGCCGCGGCGGGGCTCCCGCGGAGCTGGTGCATCCGGGCAGGGCGCGGGCAGGAGAGGGGAGCGCTAACTTTCTCCGGGACCCTCGGACCTTCCTCCCTCTGCAAACCGCCAGCTCGGGGCGTGGGACGAAGCGGGGAGGACTGTGAAGGAATGGAGCGGGCGCACACTGCCCCCTGGTGGCCTGTGTTTGGGCCGTTGCCCTAATGCTGGAGGGATTTCCAGAGAACTCATTTTTATTTATTTTTTATTGTGTCGAAAACCATAACATACAATGTATCACCTTAACCGTTCCTAAGTGTGCAGTTCGGTAGTGTTAAGTATGTTCGCATTGTTGTGCAACCATCTCCAGAACTTCTTCATCTTGCAAGACGGAATCTCTCTACCCGTTCAACACGCCCCATCCCCATCCGCCAGTCCCCGCCACCAGCGTGCCGCTTTCTGTGTCTGTGTCTGTGACTACTCTAGAAACGTCAAGTGAATGGCATTATACAGCGCTCGTCTTTTTGTGGCTGGCTTATTTCACTTAGCGTAATGTCCTCAAGCTTCACCCATGTTGCAGCCTGCGTCAGAATTTCCTTAAGCCTGAGTAGTGTTTCATTGTACGTATGCACCACATTTTACGTGTCCGTTCAGCCATTGGTGGACACTTGGCTTACTTCCATCTCTTGGCTGTTGTGAATAATGCTGCTATGAACGTGGGTGTGCAACTATCTCTTTGAGACCCTGATTTCACTTCTTTTCGGTCTGTACCTGGAAGTGGAATTGCTGGATCATATGTCCTATGAAATGAATCGTGTCCCCCGCTAAGTTCATATGTTGCAGCCCTACCCCGGAGTATGGCTGTATTTGGAGACATGGCTGTTGGGGGGTAATTAAGGTTAAAGGAGGTCGTGAGGGCAGGGTCCTAATCCAATAGGGCTGGTGGCTTTATAAGAAGAGGAAGAGAGAGTGTGTGTTTCTCTCCTCCCCTGTCCTCATTCACACGCTGAGGAGAGGCCGTGTGAGGACACAACGGGAAGGCAGCCATCCACAAGCCAGGAAGGGAGCCCTCACCAAACCCAGCCACGCTGGTACCCTGATCTGCAACAGCTAGCCCCTAGAACTGCGAGAAAATGCATTTCTGTAGCTTAAACCTATATTTCTATGACATTTTGTTACGCCAGCCTGAGCTGACAAATACAACATGGTAATTCTATCTTTAATTTTTTGAGGAACCGTCGTACTGTTTTCCACAGCAGCTGCACCATTTTGCATTCCCAACAAGGGTGCACAAG